AAAAAAAAAAAAAAAAATCCGCCTTCGGTGACCAGCAGTCAGCATAATGGCTATGTCGCTGGACTCCAATGTAGTTAACCACAGTTTGAGTCCCAGACCCAGTGGCTTAAACTCATGCCGGGCGTGTGTGCATGCATGCCCAAGATCCCGAAAGGAGAAAGAAGGAGAAGGGATTGTGGCATGGCTATCCCCCCTGGGGGGTGATTTCTCACTTTCTGTCTCTTTGTCTCTCTCTTTCTGGCGAGTGCACGCACCCTATAGCGAAAACCTCTCAAAAAAAATAAATAAATAAAAATAAAAACTGCCTTCTTTCTCCTCCTTGCAGAAGATTCTTTTCCCTCTGATTGAAACACTCTTTTTTTTTTTTTTAAAGTATGACAACATTACTGGAACTTCCCTCAGTACTTAAGAGAGTACAGAGCTACAAAAGAAGCAACAGCAAAATATCCTTGAAAGTCTTTGTTTATGATTAGGATCCATGCCCAAACATTTCAATTTGGCTCTAATATGTATGTGTGTGTTTATTTTTTTCCTATGCTTCATCAAGCATTTTTTTTTTTCATCAAGCATGAAAAAAAGTGCTATCATTTAGTTAATAAGTAAGGTTATATTGTGTTGCTTCAATCAAGTTTGAGTCATTGGGAATGGATATCAGACTCATTCTTCAGCAAATTCTCTTCCTTGTCCTTGGGTTGCAACAGTTCAAGAACCTAGATTCACATAAATACGTGGATACAATGATGGCCTTCTTTCTCCACTATTTTACATCAGGGCGGTTACAACGGAGCATGCTGAGGATGCTGGCTAAGGTACAGTTACCTTTTACAGCTACTGATGGTGGAAATATTCGTTAGTCTATTTCATAACCATTAAGGTGAACAGAAATCTATTCACCACGTCTGCAACTTTTTTCTTTCATGAAGAAGATGTCAGCTCACTATTGCCTTGGATAACTGTTTTCCTCACATTACTTCAACCTGGCCAGTGTACCTCTAGGTAGTAGAGCAGGATTTTAAAGTCATTTCTTACCTTTGTACAAATTTGTATTAAAGGTAAGTCTTCGAACTGCTAGATTTACTTGATTTTACCATCAGATGAACATAATAAGAAAATGCAGAAGTTAAGTTCCTTTAGGTTTTTGCCATAGCGTGTATGTGGGCTCACCAGAAACAGAGAGACAGTGAGAGGGAAAGTAAGAAATCACACCCCCCCCAGGGGGCACGGTCACACCTACAATCCCTTCTCCTCTATTCTCCTGGGATTTTGGGGCAAGCACATACATGCCTGGCATGATAATTTTAAACCACCAGGTCCAGGACTTGAACTGTGCTAAACTGTATGGGAATCCAGTGCCTTAACCACAACTGCAACGTGCTGGTCCCCAGACACTAGCTTTCTGACATAAAGGCATCTTTGTGACTGATACTGAAAGCCAGCAAAACCTTCCAAATTTGTCTCCATCTGCTCACATGGCCCTGTTTTCTCTACTTAATTTCACATTACCTTAAAAAATCCATCCCTCTTACAGAAAATTTACCACAAACTAATTTCCTCAAACTCACCATTCAAAATGTAACTGACAGCGTCCAATAAAACTGCCAAATTAACATCGAAGCTTTTATCTAACCTTAAGATAAAAATCTAGGTTTAGCTGAATCTGTTAAAGGTTGTTCTTGAGTATTAAAATGAGATCTTTCTATGTAGATACTTTTAAAAAATCAGCCCAATTGCCTCTTTTTGTTTTGAGATAGATCCAATCATATCTGAACACATATTTTCATAGGACCTCATTGTATAAGTATTCTCATCTTCCAAGAAACTGCCGTTGATAGGCTCTCAAAGCACTGCAAAAATCTGCTTCTTGGTTTGTACTTCTCCTGGCGAATATTTCTAGAGTCATCTCTCTTTTTTATTTATTTATTTTTTAGTTTCAATATTTGCATTACTGCCTTTTTGACTTTGCTTCAAGAGTCAGTCTTAAACGCGCAGGTATTTCTCGAAGTTTGCTCGAGCAACACGGCCTTGGTTGGGGCTTATTTGCATTTTTGCCATACTTGAGTCCATATTTTAAATAGGTGCTACATGCCACCTGTGGGTTTGGTTTACCGGTGCTGCCTATCAATAGTCATGGTCAGTTAGGGTGGTGCTAGCATCCTGCGAGGTTCCCTACGGACATCTTCCGTGACTGCTCCGGCAGGGCACCGATTTCGGAGACACCGGTTCTCACTGCCGTGCTTACTTTCACTGGTTTCAAGTTTGCACTTAGACCGTCCTGTTTTAATCCTCCAGTCCGTGTTCCTAGATGAAACACGACTTTCATAATGAATCACACGTCTCGGCAGCCAGCGACCGCGCGGCGGCGGGAAGCGGGTGCGCCGACCTCGTAAACAAACCGGCGCGCAGGCGCGAAGGCGGCAGGTTGGGCTGGTGCGGGAGCCAATGGGAGGTCTCGTACCGTGGAAGGTGGAAAACCAAAACCGAACCGTGGGTGCTCCGGCGATAAACTGGCCGGCCTTTTCTGTATATATACAGACGTGTACTTTGGCGTTTGTGCTGTAGAGGCAGTTGTGCGGCTTCCAGGACCTCGCAGAAATTCCTTGGTGTCCTCGGCCCCAAGAAAGCGCTGCTAGCCTGTTAGCTATTTTAGACTAATATGTTCTTGCCGTGGAGACTTGACATTTCTTTTTTTTTTATTTGACTGCAATATTAACCCATTGGGGCCGCACAAAAAAAAAAAAAAGAAAGAAAGAAAGAAAGAAAAAAATATATATATAAGGCGCCAAGCCGCTACAGCCTCAAGGAAAACACGTCTTGCCAGCTTCCCCAACTATCGCGAGATCGCCTGTGGCGAAGCGGGACCCTCAGCGGACTTTTGCGCATGCGCCGGACCAATCATTTTCTGCGCGCCAAGATTTCAAACCTTTCTTCCCGGAAATAGGGCGCCAAATTTGGCCCTCGGGAAAGGTCCGTCACGTTGGTCCGATGGAGCCCAGCACACACGACACACGCTTCGAGATGTTGCAGTCAGAGCTCCACGAGCTTGTTTGGTTGTCCCTTCTTTCCGTTTTTATATTGGCCGTGAATTCTGTGGGAGGAGGTTTCAGCGAATCTGGGAGTAGAGGAGTGAGGCGGGAGAGCGGAGCAAGATTTTAAAATAGGAATGATGACTTTAACGTGTTTGGCAAAATAACTGGAAGCGTTATGAAAGGCTAAGCCTGAGGGACCAAAGGATTTTATGTTTTAATTGGTGACCACGAGAGGATGGAGTGTGAAGGTAATACAGCGGGGTGGGCAGGAGATGGGGACATGCAGTGAAGGCAGACATTGGGCATGCCTAAGAGGCGGCACTAGTAAGACAGAACCGTTGACAGGAAATCTTACTTAATCTGTGAATCTGTGCATCCTTGTAAACAGAAGGCCGAAATGTGCATTTGGTACATGATAGGTAAGCTGGAAATTGAGAAGTCCTTGAATGAGTGAAGCAGGAGGGATTTAAAAAGCCATAGTTCTGAGCAAGGGTTGGACTTGGGGAAAATGGTCAAGGTAGCAGGGGTCAGGAATTCGGGAGCCGTCTTGAGTGATCTGACCGTTCTGACCTCTTTCTCTCTCAGGATACATAGGACACCTGCGCAAGCATTGGATTTAGCCCTGAGACATCTTAAAGGTACCACCGCATACCTGCAGTTGTTCTCCTTCCAGTGGAGTACCCGGCCCCTACTGCCTCCCACCAACCCCACCCTTTAGCCAGAATGAAATGTGATTTCATGGACTGAAATGGTAGAAATTAGCCAACAAGTTACTCAGAGGTATCACTGGCACATCACAGAAGTACATATTTCTTTTGTAAAAAATTATTATTTTATGTTATTATTTTTAATTAATTAATAAATTTATTTGTTTATTTGACCAGAGAGGGACAGAGTGTGTGTGAGAGAGAGAGGGGAAAAGTGAGAAAGCAAGCCGCCAGGTCTGGGACTTGAACAGTGGTTGGCCATGTGGGAATCCAGCACCCTTAACCACCAAGCCACCTCCTGGCCCCTATTATTTTTATTTTTAATTTGATCAGAAGGAGAAAGTGAGAAAGCAAACCACCAGGTTCAGGACTTGAACTGTGGTCGGCCATGTAGGAGTCCAGGACCTTAACCACCATGCCACCTGCTGGCCCCTAGATGTACATATTTCTAGCGTCACAGTTTATTAGGCATTAGAGCCCATCTTGATATAGGCAGCAATTCTCTGCAGCTTAGCCAGTATATTTTGATTCTTTGTGTTCTGCGTGGAGTACAAGGTAAAGAAATGCTGATAGAGTATATCATTTTACCAGGCCCAACAAAGGGATGGCTGGTATTTAAGCAGTATAGCTCCATCTGTAAGTAAAACTAAACATGGAACGCCACAGGAGTGATGCTAGCAATGATAGAGAAGGATTCAGGGCTGAAGTATCAGTGAAGAGCCAGATATCATAGTCCCTTACCCAGAGGGTCTCTCTACAGAACATTTTGGCTGCTTCAAGTATTTTTTGATGGCTGAGCAGTATGTGTGGGATTCGTAGGAAAACGTTGGGGGGAAAAATGCATGGATGCAATAGAATAAGATTTCTGAGTTGAAGCCCAAGCATCTTGTCTTAGGGTTGGGATTGAATAAACCTCAGAGGTGCAGCATCTAAATATCATGCCGCAGAAAGTGTGTAGAATTGGGAATCGGACCTGGGGTTTGACTTCTGGATCTGCTGGTCACTGTGTATAACTGATCTGAGCCTTACTTTCCCTATTTGTAAGAAATGATAACAATGCCTTCCTCAGGAACCAGCAGTTAGTGTAATGGCTATGTCGCTAGACTCCCACATAGTCAACCGCGGTTCGCGTCCTGGACCCGGTGCGTGCCCAAGATCCCCTGAGAGGAGAATGGAGGAGAAGGGATTGCAGTGTGACCATCCCCCCTGGGGGGTGATTTCTCGCTTTCTGTCTCTATGTCTTTCTCTGTCTGTCTGGCGAGCGCACACACCCTATAGCAAAAAACCTCTCCAAAAAAAAGAAAAAAAACAATGCCTTCCTCATATAATTATGATGACAGAATGAGATACTGTTGAAAAAGTTACCTGAGTTAGGACTCTACAACTTGGAATAAGGTTTATAGTATGTGATCAATAAATGAGAGTTTATTCCCTAAGCCTCCCACCAACCACATTTATGCATGCCACCCAGTCACTAAATTATGGATGCTCTGTGGAACACAGGTCCATCGGTATTTAGAGAGCCTTAAGAAAGATTCTCTGCCTTGCCTGTGCAGTAGAGACATCTGGAGAGCTTTAAAAAGTTCTAATGCTCAGGTTTCATCCTAGAAAAATTAAATCAAAATTATTGGAGCCCAGATGTCAGTATTTTTTTTTTAAGAATTATTTTTATTTCGGGGCCAGCAGGTGGCATGGCGGTTAAGGGTGCTGCACTCCCACATGACCAACTACTGTTCGAATCCCAGACCTGGAAGCTTGCTTTCTCACTTTCCCTTGCTCTCTCTTTGTCTCTCTCGGGTCAAATTAAAAAATAATAACAACTAAAAAATAAATAAATAATTTTTTTGAAAATGTTAAGTATTTTTTTAATGATTACTTTTTTATTTAATTAATTTATTAATTTAGTCTTAATTTGAGCAGAGAAAGACACAGGGAGAGATAGAAAGAGAGGAAAACCGAGAAAGCAAGCCACCAGGCCCAGGACTCGAACCATGGTTGGCCATGTGGGAGTTTCCAGCACCTTAGCCACTATGTCACCTGCTGGTCCCAATAAATAATTCTTTAAAAAAATTTTTATGCTTTATTTAATTATTTATTTTATTTTGCCCAGAGAGGGGACAGAGCAAGAAACAGAGAAAAAGTGAGAAAGCAAGCCACTAGGTCTGGGACTTGAACTGCACTTGACTCTGTAGGGGTCCAATGCCCCCAGCCACCACGCCACCTGTCAGCCCCAACATCAGTATTATTTTAAAGCTCTCCATTTTGCAAATAAGAGTTCCCTCTAGAAGGAGAAAAGAAATTAGACCTGTAGTTTAAGGCCTAATTAATCTGGAGGGTTATGTATATAAAGAATTTCTGTAGGAATAAAGTCTAGGGCTTGATGTGGCAAATGGGTAGGGAATAATGAGCTATATTCAAGAGGGAGGCCACTGTGATAAGAATGGCATAAGTACAGTGATTTGGGAAAGGTCAGTGATAAGCCATTAATATAGATGTCAGGAACATACAGGATTTAATGTAGAGATGTAAGACTCTCAAGCTGGTCTTTTGATCTCTTGGGGTGTTGGGAAAATCATGACGTATTTTTCTATTAAAAAATTCATGGGACCAGCAGCTGGTGTAATGGCTATGTCGCTGGACTCCCATGTAGTTGACTACAGTTCGACTCCTGGACCCAGTGGCTTAAATTCACACTGGGGGGGGGTGCGCGCGTGTCCAAGATCCCGAGAGGAGAATGGAGAAGGGATTGCGGTGTGGCCATCCCCCCTGGGGGGTGATTTCTCACTTTCTATTTCTCTGTCTTGTCTGGCGGGCGCACGTGCCCTAAAGCAAAAACCCCCCAAAAAAAAAAAAAAAAACCTCATGACTTTCCTGATGTCCCAGTAGCACAGGCAACACAAATGATGTTGTGATAATGTCTCAATTGCTTTGCCACATGGTGACTCTTTGGCCATTATCAATGTTGTTGGGTTGGGGCAAACTTTTACAACTTGCTTTGCTCCAGTGCTTGAGGAGGAACACCAAGAACCGACTGAAGTATATGTGTGTGGGGGTTCTTTTCCTGTGTAGGGGAGGTGCCAGTGGGAATGCATGTGCATCAGGTCATTGATAATGAAGCTTCTCCCATCACCTCTCAGGGTTGATGAGGCCTCAAGTGGTAACATGTTAGTTAAACTGTTATAAAAGTATGTTAAAAAGGACTGCTGGACACCAGCAGTTGGCTATGTCCCTGAACTCCCATGTAGTCCACCGCAATTCGAGTCCCGGACCCGGTGGCTTAAACTCATGCCGGGGGCGTGTGCATGCGTGCCCAAGATCCTGAGAGGAGAATGGAGGGGAAGGGATTGTGGTGTGGCCATCCCCCCTGGGGACGATTTCTCGCTTTCTGTCTCTCTGTCTCTTTCTGTCTTTCTGGTGAGCACATGCGCCCTATAGCAAAAACCTCTCAAAAAAAATTAAAAGGACTGCTGTCTGAGATCGTAACACCAGAGATACCGGAGACAGACTGCTTCAAGGCTTGTGCAAAATGTAGGAAGGTGAAAACTGAGTAGACCAATTTCAATTCTTATCTTATCGAGGACCTGAAAGAGTTTCAAGTGAAGCCTGAGAAAAACGGGTTTTTTTTTGGTTTTGTTTTTTAAATTTATTCATTCATTTATTTTAATTTGACCAGAGAGACATTGAGAAAGCAAGCTACCAGGTCCAGGACTTGAACCATGGCTAGCCTTATGGGAGTGTCCAGCGCATTAACCATGATGCCACCTGCTGGTCCCTGAGAAATGCGTTTTTAAGGATATTTGAATGGAGTTACTGGAGTATTCTGAGGATCTCAGTCACTAAGAAGGAAGAGACGGCACGTTAGCTCTTTACCTGAAGACCATGGGAAAGGGCCTCCAATGAGACCATGTGGAGAGCTTGCTGGAGTTTAGGTGCATACTGTGCACTAATGTCTATTTTCCACCTAAAAAGTTTTTGTGTTTGTTTTCTTTTTATTTTCTTTTTTTAAAGAATTATTTTATTTAACTTAGTTTATTATTATTATTATTATTGTTTTCCAGTTTGATCAGACAGAGAGAGAGAATTAGGTAAAGTGAGGAAGCAAGACACCAGGTTCAGGGCTTGAACTGCAGTCAGCCATGTGGGAGTCCAGCACCTTTAATCACCACCCAACCTGCTGGCCCTTCTTTTTTTTTTTTTAAGATTTATGTATTTATTTATTTTTCACTTGAGTTCAGACAGAGACAGAGAGAAAAAGAAAGTGAGAAAGCAATCTGCCAGATCTGGGACTTGAACCACAGTCAGCCATGTGGGAAGTTGAACACCTCAGCCACCATACCACCTGCTGCTCCCTCCCTCCCCACCTTTTTTTTTGGAGAGGATTTTGCTATAGGGTGCGTGCGCTCACTAGACAGATAGAGAAAGACAGACAGAAAGCGCGAAATCATCCCCTGGGGGGATGGCCACGCTGCAATCCCTTCTCCGTTCTTCTCTCGGGATATTGGGACGCACACACATGCACCTGGCGTGAGTTTTAAGCCACCAGGACCAGGACGCAAACTGCGGTCGACTACATGGGAGTCCAGTGACATAGCCATTACGCTAACTGCTGGTCCCCCTCCCCTTTTTTTTAAAAGAGATTTTTACTATAGGGTACCTGTGCTCGCTGGAGAGTTGGAGAAAGTGAGAAATCACCCCTGAGGGAGGATGGCCACACCACAGTCCCATCTCCATTTCACTCTTGGGATTTTGGGCATGCATTCACATGCACCTGACTTGAGTTTCAAGCTGCCAGGTCCAGGACTCAAACCGTGGTTAGCCATGCCAGAGCCCCGTGTTTTATGTACTTTGCCACCTGACTCAGGTGCCACCTGCTGGCTCCCCCACCTGAAAAGTTTTTTAGACAGACAGGTTGCTACTTTGCTGGAATGAGC